AGATTATCAAGTTCAACTGTTAACCTAACAGTGCCAATACCACCACTAAACCATGTCCTTCAGCACCTCATCCACGTGTGTCAAATACCCAATATGGTGACTGAACCCCCTCCCTGAACAGCCTGTTCCAGTGCTTGATAACCCTTCCGGTGAAAATTTTCCCTAACAACCAATCTAAACCTCTCCTGGCACAATTTGAGACTGTTTCATCCTACCACTTGTCACTTGGGAGAAGAGACCAACCCCCATCTCTCTGCACCCTCCTTTCAGACAGTTGTAGGGAGCCGTAAGGTCTCCCTGAGACGCCTCTTCTCCAGGCTGAACCCCCCCAGCTCCCTCAGCCACTCCTCACAGCACTTGTGCTCCAGACCCTTCCCCAGCACCGTGCCCATTTCTGGACACACTCCAGCACCTCAATGTCTCTCTTGCAGTGAGGGGCCCAAATCTGAACACAGGAATCGAGGTGCAGCTTCACCAGTGCCCAGTACAGGAGGATGGTCCCTGCCCTGCTCCTGCTGGCCACACTGTTCCAGATGCAGGCCAGGATGTCCTTAGACTTCTTGGCCACCTGGGCACACGCTGGATCATGTTCAGTCACTGTGGACCCACACCCCCAGGTCCTTTTCCGACAGGCAGCTTTCCAGCCACGCGTCCCCAAGCCTGTAGCGCTGCAGGGGGTGCCTATTGCACTTGGCCTTGTGGAACCTCACACAGCTGGCCTAATCTGAAGCAACAGAGTGTGAAATTACGGTATTTCTCATCCCGGTATCTGAGATGAGATCTGGTGTGATACAAAAAGGCTCTAAAACACCTGGAGTAAGGAAGGGACCACAGCTTTTTCATGAGAGAGACCAGCTAGGTACTGGATTAGTAAATGCACATATTTTGAAGGATTTGGGAAGTCTGCCTTAAGGCATGGAATTTTGCTCTCTCCATGCTTACGCACTTTAGAAGGAACTTAGAGGCAGGAGAAGGGAGACCAAAGGGAGTATTACCACTCTGAAATACTAAGGTTATCAGCAAATAGGTGTCAATGATAAAATCCTCAAGAGTCCATATTCGTTGTGATAAGGATTTTAATACACAGGCCAAGAGCTATTATACACACTGCCTTTGGTCTAACGTATTTTACAGCTACAAGTGACTGGAGCTTGAGTGAGCTCATTAGGGAAGCAGCACTTCATGTTTCCCAGTCCTGATGCTCTTCCTCGAGCACCTGCAAGGGCCACTGACAGAGAAAACACACTGGGCTGGTGGGGCTTTTGCTCTTAGTACAGACACCGTCCTCTTCTAACCGTTCAACGGTTAACGTAAGTTTTGGTATAAACCAAAACACTACCCTATCAAATCCATCTCATTCTAGGCCTTCTGGAAAAACATGGCCTTGATTTTACGTGCAAATGCAGGACGTGACACTAGGACTTATTTCAGTGTTACAATTACCCTCAGCTTCTTTTACAAAATAATTCCAGTATGTCGCGGACAGTTCAAAAATGAAGAACGTTTGACAGAAAACCCATTCTTGTTCTCCAAAGCATAATTTTACCCCTTGACATTTCTGAAATGGAAAAAATACCTAAAAAAGTCAAATTTAGCTAGTTATTTCTCCTATATTACAGGTGCTAGTAACTAAACCAGTTTTGACTATTTGGGAAAATCCCTGCACTAGAGTTTACTCCCTAAAAACAAAACGGGGGAGGGAAATTGCAAGGTTGACCTACTTTTGCCCAGGATTTCCTTACAGGAGGCGCATACAGGAAGCAGGATGCTTTGGGCAGACATCACACCTACAAAGCGCACACACTGTCAAGCTGGTTAGCACCGGCGCTGTAAATCCAACCCTTGCTGCGGGTGGGCAGAGGGATTAAACATGAAGTGGACTTTCCGCATGTACCCCTTTGTACAAGGAGCAGTGCATGTGCTGTGGGTATAAAGCCACTGTGTATGTGTTCTTCACCCCACAGAGGAGAGCCAGAGAAACATGGCATCTGATAGGAGAAACTATCACGCACAACCCCGTGAAGCACCTGAGCAAGTCCTCAGATTGGCACAGGTGAAATCTCCTGGCTAGAAAAGCAACATGAGATATTTGTGATGCTCATATGTACAGTAGCTGTAAAGAATAAAACCTACTTCTCCTTTGATTTGCTTTATGTTACTTACGTAGGAGAAACATCTGTACTTTTCAGTTTACAAGCAAACTGAAAACAAGACCCAAGGCAATCAAAAATTAACCACACAGCCCTCATTCCAGCGTGTTCCTGAAGTTACATTTACTAGAAGCAGTGCCAATTACTAGCAGAATAAACTATCATTAAAAAATATATCCACTCACTATAACGGTTGAGAAGGTCTGTGATGCTTTGTGAACTTTCTTTCTGGTTAATTAGTAAGAGCTTTAACCCCCTGGGTACTGCTGAGGGGCACAGCGGTGCCATGTCAGAAGCTATAAGCACAACAGTGATGAACTGAAATAGAGAAACTAATTAAATCAGGACTGCAACTTGTGGAAAGAGCAGCATTGCATTCTAACCAAGAGCAATGCAGATAAATGCACATACTTGCAACACTGCAAGATTTCTTACTAAAAATAATTTAAAATGCTGCATTTTCACTCTGCTTTTTGGACTTTTTTCTAATTCTGGAAGATTTTCCTTCATATTACAGCACTGCCATGCAACCTGCCTTCAGTTTTACTGTACAAATTATGCAGGTCTTGGAAGTGATCTGGGACCTGCATCCCAGCCTGTACAGTCACTTCAGACCAATGTCCATGTTGTCTGTGGACTCGGGACCGAAAGCACTCCCACAGCAGGGCTGCAAACATATGGAGATTACGATTACCACGCAAAGGCCAACTTGCAAACAATTTAAAAGTGTAAGGAGGACTTTACTGATACTCATACGGGCAGTGCTTTCTGACCTCCAAATTCTGGTCATAAGCAACATCATCAGACAGATTGCAAAAAATTTGTCCGTCACCCGCCAAGAGACCAGTAAGTCTGAAAAACCTGGATAACCTTATCTCAACTGCAGCCCTCTAATCAGAAGTAATGTGTGGAGGTTGGGTCTTTTCCTCCTTACTTTTGGCTTAATTAGGCCTAAACTCATCAACCAGCTCTCCCCGCTCCCCTTTCCTGGGACCCGTGAGATCTCCTGCACAGGACTACACGCAGCCACGCGGTGAACCCAACAACATGCAGACACACTGAAAAGCTGCATCGCCCAAACACACAAAACTATGAAAGTTCTTCTGAAACAGCAAATCAATCCAACGAAACTCAAACAACATGAAAGCAGTCATGCTCTTACACAGAAACGAAACCCACCCAAACCCCAACAGGGACACACGCTACTTATTTAACAGCTTTATTTTCTTAAATGAAAGCAGAACTCTTCCAACCTTTACCTGCAGAAAGACTCATCTTACCATTCTCCTCTTAACTGCAGTCTGGACATTCCCACTTCCTGCTTCCCATCACTAAAGCCCCAGGTTACTAACTTACTGAAAACACTGATGCTTGGTACTGGTTATTAGCAGATTTTTCAGTCCCTAACAGAATAAAGAAACTTAACTGCAAAGTGAAATAAAGTTGTACCAGCTCAAGAAAGAAATGACAGTTTTCTTTGAAGTAATAAGGAGAAATCCAATCCACAGTTCCCTACTCCATAAAAAGGTAAATCAGAAGAACCCCATTCACAGCCACCATTTAATAAGGAGAAACAACAGTAAACCAAAAGTGCAGTTTGCCAAGCTTCAATATTGCTAATAAAACCTTTTGAACTATTTGGCTTCCATCTGTTTTTCATAAATACTTTCATTTTACTTCCAGCTTTGTTGGTACAACCACATCATGAAGTAAAACATTCTGGAAATTTAACGGACATCAATGCCTTTCTCACCGAGAGGCAGCTTGAGATTCTTGTGCCTCCTGCGATACTACAAGTATCCTGATGAAAAGTGCGCTTGCCGTCAGGGAAAAGGAAGAGCAGCTGACGTGCTGAAAAGTATACTGACTGCGCGGTGTTTTTCCAAAGAGGCACAAATGGAAGGGAATTTAAGACAATGGAATTTACAAGGTTTTCAAATGAGAAGTGAAAGAACTGAAAGCAATGATACCACACAAAAGTGAGAGGAAAAAAATGTAAGACGTTCTGACCTCGTTTACTGCCACGTAGTATCGCTGCTGCTGGAACTGAGGCGAGTTATCGTTCCTGTCTCTCACCACAATCCGTACTTCGTGGTTGATAATGGTACCAACCTTCCTGTTAACACACTGGACTTGCACCACAATGGACTGAATGGACATCGGGGGCTGGAAGTGAAAACACATTTGTGTAAGACATGGTCAAAATCTGAGCTGACAGCTACGCTGCCCACTGATGTTAAAACTGCTCAGGTTCGCTGACAGCCCACCAGCCTGCCTGTCTTTGTTTAAGGCTCTGTGTCTGGATTAAAACGCTTCTCTGAGAGTGTCCTGGCTACAACCCATGTTAGTCATATTTTAAGTAGACCTACTTCTAGTTTAGATTGGATATCAGGAAGAAGTTCTCCCTGCAGAGGGTGGGAGCACTGGGACAGGTTGCCCAGAGAAGCTGTGGATGCCCCATCCCTGGGAGTGTCCAAGGCCAGGCTGGATGAGGCTTGGAGCAACCTGGTCTAGTGGAAGGTGTCCCTGCCCATGGCAGGGGCGTTGGAACTAGATGACCTTTAAGGTCCCTTCCAACCCAAACCAGTCTGTGATTCTATGTCTCAAAGCTGTAGACTGAGCTTTGCCTGCTGGATGTGCTAAGACATAAATAACAATCCCCAGCACGATTAGCCCTTCACACTTCCCTTGAGAACATAAAAAACCCACACATCTTTGGTACATCTCGTGATTATTGAAAGGTAGCTAGAAAATGTCACACATTTTAACCTTTGGTTTATTAATATTGGAATTGAAAGGTCAAGTTAGAAATAAATTCAATACGCTACCACTTACATTTACCAAGTAATTTAGAAACAACTTGGTCACCTTTAAGTGCAGACAATCCAGAGTCCAGTTGGTTGTACTCCAGTGAACATCATAATATTCAAATAAAAATAATGCCCAAACTTGATGAATGCATGAAGAAATTTAAGCTGGGAAGGCTACTACTACTTACCTGAGTTAATAAAACAATTCTAAGGAAATAAAGGAACAGGCACCTTTGGTTGAAATGGAAATTGAAAGAGACTGCTGTGGAAATACAGAATTCCAGCGTGACTTCTGCTCACAATATCCCCGCCACGGCAAGTGCCCATTTACATGCATCTGGCAGGTAAACTACCGGATCTAACACTCAGCAGAGTGAGCAAGCATGGGAAGGGACAAAATGAAAAAATTCTGTATTTCTTAAGCTCAAATTTTTCAAGAAACAGAAGACTCATAAATAGAATTTAAAGATGTCTATGTCACGCTATTCTCTTCAGTGAATGCAAATAGGCTTTTGTACTGAGACTCTGAGACTGTAGAATTATACCCAATTATATATCTACAAAATTAAGCTTTCTCTCATTCCAAATACTACAATTTCTTTGACAGGGGTTTTTTTTTTTTCATTTTTGCTGTAATGGATTTTAGAACCATATGGCTTTCTTTAACCCCCAGCCTTTGTCACTAATCAGTTTTTAAAGAGTTGGTGGACTTGGGGAAAGTAGGCGGCTTCATGGTGATGTTGAGAAGTTGAAGTACATATTCTTCCCTACATATTTACCCTCAACTTTCCCCACAATAAAGTACAGCATGATTCTTAGTTAAAAGTCCATTCTCTTGGCTGTAAAACTCTGCAGCCAGTGATGGTGTGGTTATACTTTCATCAGTGGCACTTCTAACACAGGTAGGAGCATACCAAATATCATCTGTAACTTAAATTAAGCCTCTAACATTACCATCTCTGTTTATTTTTCAAGCTGGCATTCTTTGCAAAAGATCCAAGAATTTTTAGGTCACCTTCAGTACACTTCAAACGCTGCTGAGTTAGATTTATTAGCAATGCCCAAGAAAAGCATAATCAGTTGTAATGATGGATATGTAAATACATGATGTTCTGGGTTTGGTCTTTTTCACAAGAACAGGGAAAAACCAGTTTGTCACCTTTGGTAAAACAGACAGAGCTCCGGACCAGTGTGAGTTGCATACGTACGATTTCTGCTGGGGCGGTGCTTAGATTTGAAATCAGGTCTGTAAACCAACACTCACTCTGGGCATTTATAGACATTTAATGTAAATACATAAGGGCACAATGTAACAAATTGTTGATGGTACTGGGGACAACCTATCCCAATACCTTTTAGCTGTTCCTTTCCCCTCCAGTTCTGATTTATCACTATTCATCCTTCCCCAGTACTTAAAGATTTCAAAGAAGAGTCTGGAACTTTCAGCTGATGTTGTTCGTAAAACATACTGTCACTCTTAGTAAAATCAATCAGTGGACTCTAGTAAGATTTTCTTTCAAGAAAAGTAATAAAAAAGAACAGGATCAGGCTAACTGAATCAGCAGGGAGTTGACAAGTGGGCACATCGGAGAGAAAAAGGGGAGGAGTATCCAGGTATATTGAACGCAATCACGTATGTGCCATTTGTGGATCAGAGATACCATTTCTGCTCCGTAATAAAAACCTGAACTTTAAGGTTCTACTTAATATTCCCAAATTCTATTGGTACTACAGTGTTTCATGTGGATTTAAGTTGAAAGATAAGAACTATAGTTTATTTTTTTGTTTAAGAAAAAGAAAAAAGGAACTCGCACCCCCTTGAACTTATTTGTATTTTAGGGGATAGTATAGCTCTGATTCCAAAGGCTGGAAACAGACTTAAGGTATGAGGCATAATTCATCAAGCCCATGACATGAATATCACATTTTTACTCAGTCAGCGGGGGTTTTGTAGGTTGTTTTCATTTTCTTTGGCTTGTGACTTACAGTGATTCATCAACGCCACAGAAGACATCTACAGCGGGGCTCACGCCCAAAGCCCCAACTGCCTTACATCTCATGTTTTCCTTTCATACCCCAGCAAACGTAAACAAATGCAAATGATTAATTTTATGCAGCACTAGAGTTCTAGGGATAATAAGTTAGAATTCATAGCAAAAAAATGAGAAAATAGCCCCTTAGACACCAATGTAAAAACGCCAATATTACCTATGTATAATTAAGAAAATGTAACACCCTCCACTTGTTCCCTTGAGACCCGAGTCTACCTGTTGCCAAGAATATCACTGCAAAGGGTCCATATGCATTGGTAATAATGTAAAGTATCTGTGAGTTTAGATAGACCGTTACTAATATGGGAAATCAAGTTATTTGACAAGGTTGTTTTGGTAAAGCACCTAGTTAGGTTCAGGTAAAGCAGCTCAGATGCGTGATCCTGCAGAGAGAAAAGTGTCACCAAAAGAGGCACTGAAAAAAGAATTAGCACTGATCTAAGAGGAAATAATTTTGTTTCCTAATGCCACATGGCTACGCAGATCTGCACGGGCTGATGAATAATTGACCCTGCCTTTCTCACACTGGTTCTTAAGGCTCACCTTCCCTTAGGGGCTTCTTGCTTCCTGCTCTGACTTCACATGAAACTGAGAAGCCAAAGAGGCTCCAACAGCTGGCCTGTCTGCCGGCCGTTTGGCACTTGAGGAAATGACGACTCTTTGGTGACGCACGGAGAAGTCTTACGCCACCCTGTCCCTTCTGCCCTGTTTTGTGCTGCTTACCTTTGCTTCACACATGAAAACAGTTTGTGAATTAAAACTAAACTGAGAACAGCTGAATTCAATTAGCACTTTGAAACTAAAAATGGAAATGAAGAAAAATTTGCATGTTGTTTCTAGTACTTAGGAATATATCTCAAAACACAGGGAGAAGACAAATTAATCAATCAAGCTGATACAAAACAAACTTTCACACACTCCAAGGAGGACTCCTGATCTGTAAAGCACCCTTTCCATGTTGATTACAGCTGCTTTTGAGTCAATTTTCCTTTCAGATTCTGACGAACTGCAGCAATGCTAGAACACCATGAGAAAAGTCTCAATTTCTAAAGTGTCTCTCTTCAATGAAATTAGCATAGATGAAAAACACTCCTACATTTTGTGCTTTTAATCTTTGTATTAAAAAACTTAGCCTAACAGTATTTCTTTGATGCTATTAGAAATGAGCATACCACACGCATTTTAGGCTGCCTTCCAAAAAGAATCTAAACTAGCACATTCTCAACTGAATATGTCAAGGTTTGTAAGTGAACTGTAATATTCACAACTCCTTTGCTCTCTCTCACATCCTGTAAGTCAATGTACACAGCTACACTGACTTTTAATAAGGCTTTTATTGAGTCACAGGACATGAGGGGAGGAGCACTTCTTCCAGACAAAAGCAGCAAACTGGAATAACAATCTTTTTAAGTCAGTAAACAGGTCGAGTTTGGCTCAGTATATATTGCTGCCAACCCAGACGTCTATTTGTTTGGTCTTTGCTGCTGTGTTCAGCCACATACAACAACTGTACACACAGTCAAGTTTCTGCATGCTCCCATTAAGTCCTAATAAGGAATCAAATTTACTCTGTCCACATCCATCCAGGGGAAAAAAAGATAGATGCAGCTATTCTAGCAGGTCTTGAGTTTATGAGCATACACGGATTTAGAAATTAACGGCTACAGGGAGAAAAGGAAATAAACAAACACCAGCCCCAAACGTACATCTCTGTCCAGAATTCGGCCAGTGCTATTTAGGTATAACCTCTGGCTGATGGGATCAAGGATCACCCAGTAATCCACGTTGTCCTTTAAGGAGAGTTCGATGGTGGGGTCCGGCCCTCCCGCTGTCCCTTTGATCAGCATATTGTCAACCAGGATAGTGCCTGCAAAACCAATAAACACATGAGGGAGAAATTTATATGTGCATCTACATTTTTATGTATTTTCATAACAACCACAGCACTAAAAATACTGGTTTCTAACTAAGGTTTCTGGTATTTTATGCTTTGAGCGATGCTTAAAAAGTCTGAACCTTATTATCTGCAATGAAAAAACGCCTCTGACACTGGAGCCATTTCAGACAATAGCAGAAGAAGCACTTGCAACGCACAATAAATTGACGATGGGACCCTTCATATACAGCTATCGATTTAACATCATGAGATTTTCCTCCTATTGCGCAATCATCACCCAATCTCACCTCAAACAAATGTAAGCACTGAAATAACAACCCAAAACAGAATATATTTTCTACAGCAAGAGAGTGACACATCAAGGTGATGGGGGGGGGGGGGGGGG